TGGGCTGCTGGGCAACGCGCCCTGGGGCCAGCCGGCCAGTGCACAGGGGCCGCCCCACTGAGCTCCCCCGCGCCCAGGCCCGGCAGTGCAGGGGGCGCGCAAGCACGGGGCGCAGCTGCCCCGCAGCGTCTCCCCGCGACCCCGGAGACGGAGGGCTCCTCACGTGAGGGTTAGAAGGCTCAGGTGCCATGTGAGGCCACTGCGCGCGCACACGGCCACTAAACGTGCGTAGGATGGGACGGAGGCCGCGGACACAGACTGATGCGTGCGCAGCAGAGACAACCAAACAATAACTGAGGTAAACTTGCGCCAGCGGGCTCGGCAGGTGTGTGGCAACAACACGAAAGAGCGGTGAGACTGGGGACTGGAACATGGGTCAGCAGAAAGCATCCAGTGTGAGCCAGGCTTGACACACGCCTGTGATCCCAGCACTCCAGGAGGCTGAGGCAGGAGGATTCCAAGTTCAAGACAAGCCTGGGCAACTTGGTGACTCAGTGAGACCCTGTCTCAAAAAGTAAAAAAGGGACGCAGCTCCACGCGAAGGCCCTGCGCTCCATCCGCAGCACTGCGAAAAAAAGAAGCTATCCACTCTGCCCAGCAGAGAGACGGCACAGCAGGGACAGAGGCGCAGGGGCCCCGGCGCAGCGACATATGTGACAGCGGGGTCCGGAAGGGAAAGAGAGAGTGAGCAGAAACAGCGCAGAGGCGGCGCCGGGGAAGCTCGCTGCGCCCAGCGCCCGGCCCAGCGCCCCCGTGGTGAGGCGCTGTGCAGAGAGCCCGCCTTCGCAAGGAGGGGCGAGGTGCGCCCTGAAAGGGGAGGGAGCACGGAGACGGAGATGCGGGCAGAGGGGTCAGAGCGGGAACCGGGACAGGCCCCCGGCAGAGCGTGGGCCAAGCCAGCCTGTGCGGGTGAGCGGCGGCCGCTCTCCCCCAGGAGCCCGCCTGGCCGGACGGCAGGTGGGGCAGGGAGCACGGCAGGAGGGAGCACGGCAGGAGGGAGCACGGCAGGAGGGAGCACGGCAGGAGG